GTTTGTTCTTGTTAAGTAACTGATGTGAAAAATTTCAGTTTAGCCCGTTTTTCTAAGGAAAGTGGGCTGTGATATTTTCTTCCTGGCAACATGAATAGAACCAAGGCAATAACCTAATGCTATGTATAGAAATCTCAAGTATATTTTAATCAAGTATCAAGTATATTTAAGACAATAAACAGGGAATAGATATTATCAACATAATTGAGAAAGATTGTTTTTTTTTTCCTTTAATTAAGGAAATGTGCCTTACAAGTTCTCTGACAAGAGCAAGAAAAACACTTTCTCATAGTCTCTTTCTGGAATGTTTGTCACCATGAATACTGTACATGCATCCCCTGACATGTCAGTGATGGTTGTGTGTCTTTCCTCTGTTATTTACTCAAAAGTGTATCAGCCGAACAATAAACTGCCTTGTTACTTTCCTATAGTGAATATAAAGGCATGCAACTAAAGCCTTAGCGAGTTTAATATTCTCAGCTGCTCTAAGAAGCAAGAAAAAACAGTGTTAGTGAGAATTGTTCATTTCTAGTTCTTTAGAAAGTCAGAATGCATGTTAAACTATGGCTCCCATTGTAGATGCTGGGATTTTTTAATTTCTTTGTACCTCGGGAGACTTAGCTCTTTGATTACAGAAAATGCTGGATTCTTGTGATCTTTGAGATCTTCAAGCTTAAACCAATTAAAAGTAACATCTGGAAAAGTATTTGCTGAGTGCATCTGCAATAAAAAAGAGAAATATAGGGCCTCTTGGTACAAACATGATACATAAACAGTCATTGTTTTTGGTTCTCATTTTTCAAAAGAAAAGTCAGAGCATTCTGGGACACTTTGAACAGAGAGGTTTACAAGACTTGGTTTGTGGGACTTTCTTCCTGGAGAATGTAATGCAAAAGCCGCTTTTGTCAAAAATTACAGCCATCTCTAATCAGATGAATAGGAAGTCTTTCTCTAAAACAACTGCTCCCACTCTGAATGTCTAGGCAGTTACTGCTGCAAAAGAAAATAAGTAACTTCATTTTAACAAACCCTGAACTTTGCAATCTGGGACATTCATCTTGGAAATTACTACTTGAAGATTGCGCCCAATACTTTCATACTTGTTTTTCAACCCACTGGATCAGTTTGCTAGGAATCTGATTCAACAAAAAACAATGGTACTATTTCTGGTTGGGGAAGTAGCCTTTTTCTTGAGGTGAGCTCTGCCAACTGTCTATTGTACAGTATGTTCTCAAAAAGCAATTCTCTCTTTAACCAGTCAACATCAGATTAACTTTAAAAAACAAAATACAGACAAATACTGTAGACACCCCAAAACGCCATTAACTTTTCTTTCCAAATGTTACACTTCTGTTGACTGAAACACATAGGAAATGAGGGCTGATGACAAATAAGTGTCTTCTGATTCCAGACACTCATTCAAAAGTTGAATTTTACCCATGATATTCCTCTGGGCTGACTGCCTGGCCACTTGATTGGTACGAAATTGCCACTGTGGCGGAGTCAGTGATAAAAATACCAGATACTGTGGCTTCCCTAACTTAATGGAGTGCATTAGGCAATACACAGTTCACTTGTTGCCATTACAGACTGGTAACAGAACTAAGACATCCCGCCCCTCAACACAATCTCCTATTTCCAACAAGATGAGCCTAGTGTGGAGCACTATGAGAATAACTTATTTTAGTTATTTATTTGCCTAAGAACACTGGATGAAAAAAAACTAACAATGAGAAAGGGCTACTCAGTCTGTGATTGCTATTTTTCTGCTAAATTATTCTATCATGGCATCAAGTCTTGACTTGAAAGCTCCCATTTTCTTGACCTGCAAAACATGCCCTGGGACTCCATTCCATGCATTGACAACACTGTATCAGTCAAAGAGCATTTTCTGGTATTAGTGCAAACTTACCTCTAACATGTTTTCAGCTACCCATGTTATGTTCACTGAACTTAACCTGAAATTCCTACTTGACTCTGTTGCCTTTAAAAGTCTAAAGATGTCAGTCAAGTCTCTTCTCCATTCAGTGATTAATTGTTAATAATTAATGTCATTTTGGTCATTAATTTGAAATGAATTTAGACAGACACCCTCATGAAATAAGGACTTCAGGAGTTCTTTCTCCAGAAGTGGTGTTATAGCAACACTGTCCTCAATTACAGAACTGCACTTAACTCGATTACTTGTAATTATTTAATTACTTCTTTCTCTTCCGTGACAGTAATGAGGACTGAATGATGGGACAGTCCTAGAACTGGGTTCCAAAGCAAATTGTTCTCATGGAACAATAACAAAAACATGCTACCATTCGGTAGCTTATCTTTTTATTCAGTCATTTATTGCACACCCTGGCCACTGGACAAACAGACATGACATGTACAGTAAGACTATAACTGAATACATGATTTCTCTTAATTGCTATGCTTTATCTCCCCTTATCATGGTTGCAGCCTGATCAGTCATTAACTAGAAATGATTTGTTATAATGAATTAAAAAATTAAATTTCCTGAATTTAAGGACTTAGGTGATTAATTTGCCTTTAGGTTAATAAAAGATTCAATTATAATTTTTCATCTGGAGGCAAATCCAAATTCTTGGCTGCTGCAGCATAGACAACATAAGAACATATTAGCACCAAGGAGCAGTAGAACTAATAAAATAAATGGCATTATAATTCCCTGCCAAGTTCCACCAAATCTTACAAGAGACTTGTTGACATAATTAATTTCATATCCACCTACCAATTACAAGTGCCTTTAAAATACAAAAAAAGAGACAGGAATTCATATTAGATTATGTCCCGCACCAGCAATTTAATGATTACATTCAACTAAGTAATATTTAGAGCGCAATAAATGCTAAGAGACAAAAGGAAGTCATTTGGCATATCTAGCTTGTTTGGTTGTTAGTGGCTTTATTGATCTGACAGTCTCAATTCAACCATTTCTCCAAACACAGGATGCCTTCATCAATGTGGCAGAGAAGCTAAATCCAATAAAAAAGAATCACTTTTTATTAGTAATCTAATTCTAACTACTAGATACAAACAGTAAACAGTAAAAAGTAACTTAACTGCACATTTATGAATGGCTGAATAGTAATGGAATTTTCAATTGTTAGGAAGAGTAATGCTTCAGATGTCAAATGCAGTTACTTGCCAGCACATTTTTAAGCAGAAAAGGCAGCACAGAACGTGAATTTAATAGCAAATAATAGCAAAATCTTACAAAAATGTGGTGGACTTATTGCACACTTGCGTTACTTTACAATAGGCTTTTAAAAACTGCAAAACACAATTTCAGTCAGAACTGAACTGGATACCACTTCACACTATAGATTTCTTACTTTGTGTTGCATGTTGGCCCATGTGAGAAACCGTATCTCTTTCCTAACTTAAAACATCCACATACAGTCATTAATGTGAGTTTGTGTTACTGTATGTACTGCAGAAAATTTGAATATTCTGCTCTAAAGCAAAACAGGAACATGACTTGCTTCCCTGCAATTCTATTATGCAACAAACAATTTTAATAAAAATAAATATTCACGTGAAAATAGACAATAACAAACACAACCGTTTCATTCTAAATTTGTAGAAGCTTAAGATTTTCCCCCCCAACATTAAAAAAACAGAATGCCGTAGCTTTAAATACATTGTTAATACATAGGTACAGATGGCAGCAGTTAGGCAGTGCCCAGATGGTGAAACCTCTAATTTGAATCAAAGGCTATAATTAAGAAACAAAAAATTAAAAAGCATAGCATGAGGATTTGCTTTTTAAACATGAAACACAACACAAATTACAGCAAGAGAAGTTTGGTTTATGTGGTCGTTATTAAATATTTAAATGAACAATTTCTTTCTTCTCTAAATAAGCTTCATTTTAAAAAGAAATTCATTTCCATATGTGCAATTTGGAAAGGCTATATCCTGCAGAGCTTTCTGTGTCTTGCGTCTCAACAATAGGTTTACTGAAGATGACTTCTCGTATGTCAGTTCGTGTGGAACGACTGGTTTCTCATCAAAGGTTTGAATACGTACTAATTTTGTTCATTTCCCTGTCTGGTGTCAATAATTTACAGTAGGGCTGTACTTAGCTAGTGTCTTGTTCTTAAAATTACTCAAGTACAAATTCCGATGACATCTGATTTTATTTGGCATACGCATGACATTCATCTAATTATTATCGTAATATAATGTATTTGGAAATAAAGGCGGACTGGACATTATAAATCGTGATTAAAAAAGTGTTTTTAATATTGCTGTAGAATACCACATGGAGTAGTCCTGGAATGAAAACCAACACACCTCCCTTCCAATTTTAAGGCCAAATAAACAGTGTTGCAGTATTTAGAAAATTATCATTACAGAACATCTGCCTCTCTTGTCTCTGTACAGTACTATGGAAGAGCAGCATTTTCAGATCAGTATACAGTATACACTTAAGATAGTATACAAAAGTATCGTGTTTTACATCTGCAGTTGCCTCAGTTGGTGTGTGAACTGCACATCAGATGTACAAGTACATTTTGAAGTGCTTCTGTCACCCCTTTTGACAACATTTCCATCGCCAAAAGAGAAGCAAAATTAAAAATCTGACGCATTAATTCAACGTGAAAATGAAGACCCAAGCATATTTTAGCTTTAAGCATACATTAATCGCGTTTCAACCCCTCAATCCATTTTCAGTCTGCCAGTCTTAGCGAGGGTCGCGGTAGAAGTTCAATATTAATAAAATGACCATCAGTCACTCGTCGCTTTGATATGACAATACTAGACCAAGGCGTGATAAATGTTGACACTTCTCGCCACTCAGCTACAATTGTGTTACAAAATAACGTCAGTTGTCATTTACAAATTAACAGGAAGACGATAATGCATGCTTGAAAAAGTTTGTTTTGTTTAATTTTAACTCTGCAGTCCGGAGGATTAAATTGACCGTTCACGCTAATAAAACTCCCCGGTAGCTAGCGTCCGGAAAGAAGTTACAAACTTACCCGTTTCAAACTGAGCAGAAGTTGGGAGAAATCCAGCCAAAAGGATTGCAACTGTCAACGATCCCATCGCTCAACTTGAGAAGAGAGGACAGACGAGGTGCTCTTTCGTGGAGTCTGAGAAAGGAAGAGTCGCAGGTGACTTGTTTCGGACACAGCACGTCTCCGATCTGAAAAGTCAAGTCGCGAATGGTTTAAGTTAAAGCCAGCCCGGACCGCGTCTGATCCCCCAGCTACAAGGCAGATCCGAACCACACAGACAAGAGATAGTAGAAAGCAGGGATCCTATTTCTAATCATGTGACAGGAAATCGGGGCCACAGCTTCAACCTGCAAGATTGGGCATAGAGCGAGCGGTTTGCTGGCTGGTGGTATTAGCAGCGGGTTAGAGCTGGCTGTCAACAGCGAACTGCAGTTTTAGTGCTTGTGCGCAAGCAGTATCCGAATGGCTAAAATACCAGTTAACTTAAGCATCGCCGTAAAAAGGACTGTCAGTCTGGGGAAACCAGGAATTTCCGCTGAGACCGCGTTTGTTAATGTTTAAATGGAAGCGTATTGAATAACCTAAAGAACCAGTGTCTTTATCGCGTTTTAATAGTATGTTTATAATTGATTCAGGAATAGATTTTCCTTCCCTTTTTAATATGTGGATTGCTTTTATATTCTTGTTAAAAAGCCAAGTCGCGACTCTCGTATGATTTAGCTAATCCCAGCAGCCCAAAACATTTTCTTTCACTGAAAACAACCCTGGGCAGCTTGTCTGCACTTGATAGCATTCAGTCCCTTGTTCACAAAATACAATAATTGTGCAAACGGGATGCCTATGGACTGTTATAACAAGGCGTGAAAAGTAATTAATTCGCTTTCGAGATTCTAGTGTAGAGTGATTGAGGTACGTAGGAAGGTAGGGAAACGGATACAATTAGCTCCCGTATCTACTGTATGTATTGAAGGTATGTGTTGTTGTAGTTGTTTCTACACTAACACCCAGGCAAATTAAAAATGTATCATATCCTTTATTATCCAGGCTGCTTACTAATGAACCTGTCTTAAGGGTCATAAGAACTCTGGACCTTGACCTAAATAGGAAAACCAATGGCCCAAACCATTCGATTGCATACCTATCTATCACACTAAATGTAATCTACACTTGGATTTGTGAATTCACAACACTGAATTTTATTGTTTTTTTTTTTTAAGTTTAACCGGTGAATTATTGCTTTTCCATGTAATTGCCTCAGCGCCTGAGGAAAAGTGAATAGGGTGATCAATTGAAGGGGCTGCTCGTAAGGAGGATATTGTAGTGTTCAGATTTCAAAGCCTTCTTTGCAGAACAGGATAATTGAAGGACAATTATCATTGTGCTTCAGATGGGCAGAATCCCATCATGAGCTGAACTATCAAAGCTTTTTTCGTGAAAAAAATATACTCAGATCAGAAGATAATTACGCGTATGTCTATGGGATTGTAAGGATTAAATTTAAATTAATAATGTAATACTGAAGTGAAATGCAAATAAAAAAATAATTACTCAGTGGTATACAAGTTATCTACCCTTATGCTTTAGAAATGCTCAGAAATATGTTCAGGCACAGAAATGAGACATCGTTTCCTTTTCATTTCTTTATATTTTAAAGCTCAAATCTTGAGCAGTATTAGCATTATTTGAACCATATTTCAATGAATTCCATTCAAGTATGCTATACGTATCCCTCTTGTGGACATTGTTTGTATTACAAGTGTAATTGAACTGAGGGTATGAAAATTGAATTTTTAATCAGTAGAGTAGTGGAGATTAAATATAGCTGATTAATAGAAGAATTTAGCAGAGCTTGAAATACGTTTTTTCCATAACCACAGAAGCAGTAAAATAATAAAAAAATTAAGAAACTTGGTGTTCAAATCAAGATTTGCATCATCTATTCATTATGATCAGAATCGTTATTGCAGTTAGTTTCAACTCTTAACCCTGAAAAGAAGAAAACATTAAAACAAATAGAATATTTCCACCCAGACTACTCATTATTTGGAGAATGGTCCTTGTGTATTAAAATAATTGGTATATAAACTAAATTAATAACATTTAAGGCATCTGAAATGCTTTCCTTTTTTAAAATTAATCTCCCTTACAATGCACTACATGGAAAACGACCCTGAGCAATTCATCTCTGTATGTACTAGTATGAATTTCTAGTAGAGCTGAAAAAAAAACGCATCCAGTTGCTTTCATGGAAAGGCATTTTATAGAGTACGTTACCTAGATTAATCATTGGCAACCAAGATACAGTGTCTTAGATCACTGTCTACTGTACATAATTTATCCATTCATTCAATTGAGTTTAAATTGAGAGCACTTCCATTGTCATTGACGTCTGAGACACTGATAGCCAGGGGCTTTTGTCTGGTGAAATTTGTTTCTTCTTATTGTCACTTCAGGTTCAGATGACTGCATGAACTGTCACTAGAAAAGGGATTTAACGTGTTAGGAAATTGCAGTAACATGGGATGAAATATTTTCCATATATTCCCACTGCTATTTCTGTACAGTATGTAACGTAACCATTTAGAGGAGAAAACAATATCATCTTTCATTCCATAAATAATATATTTAAGAAAGCGTACAAAGTCTTGGAAAATAATTATTGGTCAACCCTAGATGGAGACGCACAAAATTTGATGTTACATTTCACAGACCACAAACACGGGACAAGAAACAATAGTTAAAAACAACAACAAACAATTTGTACCATACTTTTTGTTTTTCACAGCAAAATTGGAGGGAATATCTTTTATTCTTTTGACATGATCTCACAGAACGATAACCATTTTTCGTTGAATTTGTGCAAGGATAAGACAGACATTTGAGAGAGACAGAGAAAATGCTTGCTTAGGAAATGAATATAAAGCTGTCTGACAAACGTGTCTGAACCTGTCTGCGTCAGTGGTTTATTGCGTTTATAGTGTCACCTCTCTTTTTCTAAATTCTCTTTTGTGTAACATGGCCAGGCCACTAACCAGCCCCAGAATTGCTGTGCATTGAAACTGTTTTTCAGCTTGGCTTTCTTTGTCCAGTTATATGTGTTCTACATGGGTGCAATTCTTCATGTAACTCTGACGTCTGTGTTATGCATTTAAGCATTTTTTCCTTAAATTGCTAGTACACTTTCGTGTGCTATGGACTTTGAAACCCTTTTAACTTGCATTTACATTCAGTAATAAACTACAGATTTAATTGCAGCAGTTTGACCAGTAGATTAAAAACGGCCAAGTCTACATGCTACTGCGTCTTGGCCTTTTCCCGTAGAAATATTATATACCCACTTCAAAAATATGCTGTTCCTTAATCAGGTTTCACCTTCAATGGTATCTAATTGCCTCCGCATGCGGTCCGTTCTTTTTTTGACCCACTTCTTCGTGTTTATTTTGATATCCTCCATGCCATCTGGTCCGATCTGCCCCTGTTCATTTACTCAAGGGCAACATGTCAAAAGGAATAACAGGAGATGTACGCTTACTAAAGGATTATTGGAAGCATGACTTGAGGAAAAACAGAAAGCAATTATCTGCTTATTGAAAAAAAATGAGAAAAATGTTTTCACAGATTATTCTGGAGTGGGGAACGATGTTGGTGTTCAGTCTTCGTGTTCCAATAACAATAACATTGGCAGTACCTCGAATTCCATGCAGCCATTCCCTCTGCACGATTAGAGATGTTCATCAAGATGTTCAGCTATACTTTACAGAAATTTCTTTAGTGCCATCTAATATCAAATGTTACTTATTTCCCCCCATTTTGTACCGATGAGTAAATGTTAAATTTCAGGAAAATATTATTTTTGTAACAAAACATTACTGCTTAATTTCATGTGATGTATCAGCATTGTAAGCTGTACTACTGTGCTTGCTCCATTAGTGAGGTTTTGCGGTACAGGATAGACACAGCTGTGCTTCTCAATTAAACAACATTTGCTAACATGAGATGCACTGACCTTGTGTACAAGGTCAAAATCATTTCACCATTAGGAGCAAAGGCCTTTTCTGATGTTTCAAGTCTTATTAAACCTGGCATTTAATCATACTAATTCTTGACGTCTTGCAATGAATCAGCATGAGTCTGGTTCATACAGTACATCTGTTCATATGTAAAAAAAAACTTCCACCATAAATCTGTCCCCACACAGTTTCCATCCAGTTCCAGGTATGTTGTCTGATCTGGTCTATGCCTAAATTCATTTGAAGTTGTGAGTAGGAAATGACTGTGTTGACCCTCATCACAATTTTAGAGACTTCAGTCAAATTTCCCTGAAGCTTTCTTTGTTCCTGGCCAGGAAGGTTCACTCCTCTGAACCTGCATTTATAAATCATACCCTTTAGCCCTGGGATTAGTCAAATTGGTATTGCTCCTGGTCTCTAATTAGTGAATGTTGACACCCTTTGGAATGTTACATGTATCTTTATTGTAAACCAGCTTCCTTTTACTTTAAGGTTAGGCAAAGAGGTAATATAGAAACACTAAGGAGGGAAAAGACTGAAATTTGCAAACATCTGTGCATCTTGGGCAGGTGCAACATATCCCTCCTACCACAGACAAGTGAAGCCCAAAGGCTTGCTTTTGGAAGTCTGTTGATGACCCAGAGGTAAAGCCATTGAGGTCTTATACAGTAAATTATTATATCATGATGCCCCCTACAAATGACTGTCAAACTATTTTTACATTGTTGAACCTTCTTTGATGTGGGCGTGAACATTTATTTGTTTGTAAACTGGAACTGAAATAGAGTTATTAGGGGATACTCAGCTGCATTGTTTGGGATTATATCCACTGGTCTCTGTAAGCCTTATTGTCAAATCTGATTGGCAATGAGTTGATATGAACTCACAAGTCACTGGAGCAGAAGGTCAACACAGCTACATTCTTTTCTGTGTTTTCCAGATCCTTTTGTCAGGTCAGGTAATAAAGTATAAAATCGTGTTGCTCATTGTTACACAATTCTTATCTTTTGTTGTTGGCAAATAATTGTGGGAATGGATAATGTTTCCCCCAAGGATGCACAACGAACAGGAAAAAAACACACATCAGGTTATGAATGCACTTTGTTAAAAAGCATTGCTCTTCTGCACTGCACAGCATAAAAATCGCAGTCTGAAGGAAGTACCTTTCAACCTTCCAACCTTTATCCTAGCAAAAGTCTTGGCAATTATCATGGGAGCACAGATTTTAAGGCAAACCTGACAGTACATGACTCCTCTCACTATTAAGCCCATCCATAATACAGTAGTACCATGAAGAGTAGGGCAGTTTAGAATAGCCAATCAATCCTACTCTTTGTGGGTTTGGGTGTAACAGTAGGTGGAAATCGGAAAACACCTGGCTAAAAAATGGAGAACATCCCAAGTCTTTACAGACAGATAC